AAAACAAAAAAACAACACAATACGCACATATTATTATGTACATCAACTTACACTATAAAACTTAATAATACTCATCGGACTTAATCACGTATACTATGCGCATGTCTTCATCCGATAATTAATGTGTATCACAAAAACGGAAACAGACACAATAAAGAATAAACACGAGAACACACGCTTGCGCTCCTCCATAATGTTAATCGAAATAAGGCAAACTGTCCACATTTCGCTTGTTCATTATTTCCGCCTCATCATCATCATCATTCTCCTGCCCTTTTCCCAGTCACCTGGGGTCGGCGCAACATGTTTTCTCCTTCCATACTCTTCTATCATATACCATTTCATCACTCACTCCCCATATCGGTCCATATTACCCATATCGTCTTTCACACAATCCATTTCTTCTTAGGTCTACCTCTTCCTCTATATCCTTCCACATTCATAATTAACACTCTCTTACCAACCTCATTTTCATTTCGTCTCATCACATGTCCATACCATCCCAAACGCGCACTCCTCAGCTTCTCTGCCACAGACTTCCTCTAACATATTCATTCCGTATTCTATCCTATCCATTATCTATCATTATTTCCGCCTATAAACAATAAATCATAGAAGACAAACTCCAAGTAAAAAGGAACTAACCGATTCATTAATCACTGCACATATTATAGAAACACACAGAAAAATGCTTATTAAACTACATATTTTATTATATACTGGTAAAACTCGGTCGCACCCCGCCGTTGTCATGCTTTATTGTATGAAAAATATTGATTTCTTGAAATTACCGCGCTACCTACCTTGCGTTAATGGTACTACGACAGAAACTGTCCCTGTAGTATCAACAACAACCGGACCAAGTTCGTTCACAATCAAACGCACAGAGGTCAAACATACATAAACCGAAGATTAATAAAATTTGATTGCCACGTTGCCTTAATTAATTATTCCTTACCTAATCGTTGGTAGCCTAGAGGACTATTCCAACTTCGCGCGGATCGCTAAGTGAGCTCACGGGCTCAACCTGAGAGAATTGCTAACACTAGCCCTAGCAAGAGCAGTGCTTCGCTGAATCTACTACGGGATCGGAATCGCGACCCACTGAGAAGATTCGGCGAGAAACTCAGTGGATTGTGTCTATGGGCTAGTTTGCACGTCCGGAGTCGACGAGCTTGACGAGGACGGTGACCGGTGCTTGAGGAGCCTAAAAGCACCGAGAATGGATCCGACAAGACATGTTTTGGGCGACGGCGGCTTTGCTTTCCCCGTCGACTGGGTCGGATATGGTTGCTTTAGCGGCTAGTGAGCCTGCTACACGATTTAGCTCTAGTACTATTGTTGATCAGACTCTTTTGCGCTTGTTCCTGACACTTTTTCCGAATTACTCTTAGCTTGCGGCTTTTGTTCCATTTTATCTTCAAGAAATTTCGATGGTTCGGTAATAATTGTAATTAGAAATCCAAAGATTGTCTGAGTAATAAGCGACGTTTGCCAAAAAAACCATTAACCACTTTGGATGTAAATTTTGGTTTCAATATGTGCATATTTTAGTGAAAAGGTTTTTGTGTTGACGGAAATGGGTTAATATTGTCATTCCTTTGGGCCAAAGCTGTTTAGTTTGTTCCGAAGAAACTTATCTCAGGAGACCCTTTGAGTACCCTTCAAAGAGGTTTGGGGTTATATCGTTCGTCTCGAACAAAACCTTCGATTTATATATTACATTGAATTTGTTTTCTAAAGTTATTGTCACGTGCAATTTTTTTTATAGAGCAGCTCTAGCTTGTCCGAAGGCTTCCTTTCCGATGCAATCTAAATAGCATATTTTGTCATACCACACCAATAGAGTATCACTTCAAACAGTTTTTTTAGATTACCGAAAAACACGATTATATCGCATTCATCACGATTCAGACTTCAAGTGCTAGTCTGAAATAAACATTTTTATCTATAACCAGTTCTGTTTTATCTCCAGTTCATAACACAACCGTCACGTCTGGTCACGTCCGAGAAAAATAGCTTCTACTTCACACAGTAAAGAAAACCAGTTCTAGAAAGTTCTTGATAACACGAGAACGTCAAATAAATATGTTTCTGAATGAAGTAAATAATGTGCATTAATATACGAAAAACAAGGCCCACAGACTGTAATTTAAAATTCAAATTAGAATCAAAGTCAAAACAGAAAGTCACGAGACAAATACTATATTTGTTATAAGTATGAGTAGGTATACACTGTAAGGGTTTTTACAGTTGATTTTAGCATAGCAAAAGATTTGAAATACATTCCATTTAACATTTGAACTTTTTTATTATTATTATTACTCATTTTATCAATCAAAACATTTTACATGGTATTAAATTTTTGAATTGTTTTTACCATAAAACCATTAAATTGGAGGGAAATTTATATGAAATAATTAATGTTAATTAAAAATATTGTATATATTAAAATACAAAAAAACTTACACAAAATCCATAGCAAAATTAAAACGAAATCGTGAAAATGAAAAAAAGGTAAATTGAATTTTATCATAACTAAGGTATTCAAGGTCAGAATTCGTGGTCACATTTATAAATTATGATTAAGTAGACATATTTTTAAAATATGAACATAGTTATTCAAACTAGAAAGAAACCGAAAAATTAGCCAAGCATATCTAACAATACTGATAGGTCACTGACCACAAATCCAAAAACAAAAAGCCACACGTGGTCCAAATGTACATATATTTCAAGGTCGCAAACAAATAATATTCAAATTTCAACATAGGTAGTAAGTAACCATGGCTTAGAAATCATACACATACCTATACAAATATTTTTCTAGGACAAAGGCATTTGTACCTAAACGTATTAATTACATGTTTATTTATAAAAAACCAGAGCTTTTATATTATTCACGACGTTTAATTGCGATAGGTATTTTAAATGACATTACTAAGCGGCATCCATAATCGACGATAACTACTCACCACGGGTACGCTTGTCGCCTAGTATGGCGATAAAAAATAGTCATCAAATATGTTCTCACGCGATCAAATACGCTTCAAACTACATATACAAGTTTCGGTCTTGTCTGGGGACAATGCCCGATATCGCTGTACCAAATTCACATACTTAGTTATGCTCTTCGCTTGAATACATTGAAGAAACTAGTATAACACGAACTATTTAGATTCGCACGTGTCTCAAATTTATTTGTATTACAAATCAATATTTTGACTTTCATTGAGTCACTATGTATCCGTTTGACCGTCATGCAATAGCAAATGTATCAGACTGTTCTTCTGCGATATAACTAAACATTTCATTGAATGTTTAACCCACAGACACAGCCCACTGAGTTTCTCGCCGGATCTTCTCAGTGGGTCCCGTTTCCGATCCGGTGGTAGATTCTACGAAGCACTGCTTTTGCTAGGGCCAGTGCTAGCAACACTCCGGTTTGAGCCCCGTGAACTCACCTACATGTTAGGGTGATACTGAAATAGCCTCTCAAGGCTTTATTAGCATAGGTAGGAATAAAACATGAAATGTCGAAAAATATTTATTGTTTAATAGCACTTCCGAAACTAGTTTTGAGATAGGAAGCAATATAACATTACTGAAAAGTTTCTTTAGAATCCAACTAACTACCCCTTCCTTCTAGCCACTGAAGTGTACTCTTTAAAGTTTTAATGCTATAGCGCGATAAACTTATCACAAATACGCGTATCCAGTTTCAAACTTGTCGAAGTAGATTTCATCGAAGAACATAATAGCTATACGAAATCGACACTAATGCTATAAATGCGAATATGAATTTGTTTGCTACGATTTCGTCTTTTAACTACTCTACCGAAGAACATGGAAATATACAAACATTATCACTTAGTCACATTTCGTCCAAAAAAAAGTACTAGATCCGATTTATTTCTAAGTTAACACGATTCGAACCGCGGGTGAGTGCTAGTTTTTGAAATAAACGCTTCCAGTGACTCGATCGATAAATTCGCAGAATGGTTGTGAAAGTAATCTTCATTTAAATAATAAATTTGCAAATCACTTGAAACTTCGCTTACCGTTCGCCGCCTTAGGAAATCGATTAGCCTACAATTTTATATTTTTATTTTTATTGCTTAGACGTGTGGACGAGCTCACAGCCCACCTGGTGTTAAGTGGTTACTGGAGCCCATAGACATATACAACGTAAATGCGCCACACACCTTGAGATATAAGTTCTAAGATCTCAGTATGCTTACAACGGCTGCCCCACCCTTCAAACCGAAACGCATTACTGCTTCACGGCAGAAATAGACGGGGCGGTGGTACCTACCCGTGCGGACTCAGAAGAGGTCCTAAGTATTAGGTTTAAGGAACCACGTTTTATTTCAAGATCTAATGAGCCGTGTCATGACATTTAATTAGTTCTTTTGCAGTGCTCATTTTACGAATGTAACCTATAGCTGTAGCATCTTCATGATCAAATGGAATGAGTTTTGTTATGAAAAGTCAACCTATAATGTAATAAAGACAATGAAACAACGCAGAAACATGCAACGATAAGTTGCATGACATCAAGGAATTTTTTTTATAAAATTTTTGATTCTAAAAAATGGCGTCTATAATAAATGAAAAAAATACTAAATGTAAAACATTCGAAAGATAAAATGTTCGTATGTTTTTAACAAAATTACGCAATAATATGGATTGGAAATGCCTCTGATCGGATTTACATGAAATTTAGCACAGAGATGGATTACAACCTGAATTAAGACAGCTGATGATACTTTTATCATGGTAAATGGTAACGCCGGAGAACGCTGGGTATATTGCTATAGTAAATATCACAGTACATTCGGTGGTCCGTGGTTTTATCTAAATCGACCGATCGATCGATCGCCCATGGTCGACGGTGACCCCTCACTCTTAGGTGGTATGTTCGTCTACCTACAAGAGCACTAAAATAAATTGCGATAGCGTCTACTAAAACTAATTTCAATCTTTATTCTTGTTCACAGTGCTCCCAAAAATGCATATTGAAGTGCAAGTCGCCCTAAACTTCGTCATATCTTACTTATACAATAAGCTGCCAAGACGGCGAGTCAACATCTTCGGGGAAGAATTAGAGAAGGCACTCAAGGACAAATTCAGGGGTCATTGGTACCCGGACAGACCGTGCCGGGGCTCCGCGTTCAGATGCCTGAAAACTGGAGGCCCACTGGATCCAGTGCTTGAAAGAGCGGCGAGGGAGTCGGGAGTGCCCGTACGTGATGTACTAGAACACCTGCCCCGGGATCTGGCTGTCTGGGTTGATCCAGGTTCGTTTGATGTTAAATTCTATTTTTATTTATTTATTTGGTCAATTATATTTAGTTACTAGTGTTCGCCCAGTGCTCGAAATTCTACCATAATCATTAGCACCTCCATTTTCAGATTTTTATTTATTGCTTAGGTGGTTGGACGAGCTCACAGCCCACCTGGTGTTAAGTGGTTACTGGAGCCCAAAAATGAGGTAAATGCGCCACCACCGAAAAATGGTAAATGCGCCACCTACCTTGAGATATAAGTTCTAAGATCTCAAGTATAGTCACAACGGCTGCCCCACCCTTCAAACCGAAACGCGTTACTGCTTCGCGGCAGTAATAGGCAGGGTGGTGGTACCTACCCGCGCGGACTCACAAGAGGTCCTACCACCAGTAAAAATATGAATTGTATTTCATGTAATTACATTTTCTTTTGATTCGTGATTGACTACTTTCTAATTAAGAAAACTTTATTGGTAAACCCTAAAGCTGGACAACAGCAATAAGTAAAAAAAATGGATTGAAAAACAAAAGGCAAAAGATACTGATCTATTTTTCCTATTTCATTGTAGATGTTGAAAAGTAAAATTTGATAAGGCACCTCAACACTCGTTTTTAACTCGCAAATATCTCACTCAAATCGTGACCATTGAGCTCGTGTCTTTCGTGACCATTGAGCTCGTGTCTTTCGTGACCACGAAAATTGCAAAGTATTTGAAACATCGGAAATAATAAATTCTATTTTATACAGTGGGTGATAGTAGATAATATCATTTTAATTATGACTTCATCTCGCTAAAAGCTGCATCTCGCTGCAACTCGCTAGATTTAACAAAATAAATGTAATGTTGCTTAGCTTTTATTCTTGGTTATAAATACTGTTCTGTTACTGACATTACACCGTCTTCATGACCAAATTAAAACGAAATGCAAATTGGTCAGCCATTGTAGAAATGAGCTTGCACAAACGTACGAACGATCAAAAACCTATCCAGATGTTACTGTATCTAGGTACAAATGGCATGTAAATAGGAGTTACTTAATAAACTAAGATAAAATTGTAAAACACTCTCGATCTTACACTTAACACGAACGTAATGAAAAATTATACCACAGGTAGGTACGTGTATTATTAAACAAACAAATAGTAAAGGTCATATAATCCTCGACAATAATAACATGAATGTTACAGCACCACTACTATTGCAACTAGATGTAATCTCGGTAATAGTTATAAGGCGACCGAGAATAGGAGGGCATTATCGGATACACGTAAATTGGCTCGCACGTACTAAGGCCTCGTTCGAGACGCAAGCGAAGTCCGTGACATCTGTATTGTTTAAGAATGCCGTGCAAATTGCAATTTAATTGTTTACTTTGCATTTAAGTGTATTGAACTTGACGATCGTTACAGAGATTTCATCATTGTGCTTAGTGCGAGTTTTTTAACGTTCTCGATAGCGTAAAAGTTAGCTCATATTTGTATGGAATGGGATCGTTTGCTTACGTTTGTCGCTAGGGGCACTGTTCCAACTGCATACTTCACTGCAGGGTTCACTTTTACGCTATCGAGAACTTTAAAAAACTCGCACTAAGCACACAGCTCAGACATTAAAGTGTTTAAAGTACATTCATATTAACTAAAAATGTGGGAGACAAAACACTATCATTCTAGTATTTTCTTCAGTTTTCGCGAGTCGTAGACATGTAACTAAAATTACGTTTAAATTTTCTAATCGCTTTTTATCGTCGTCCGTGAGACTACGTAAACTGTAAAGTATTGAAAACGTCGGAAACATTCATTACATGAAAACAAAAGAAACGCGAGTATAAACCGTAAAAGCAGTTTTAATTATCAGTACCATTATATTTGATGTGTACTCATTAGCATAGTTTTGGATAGATGAGCTCACGGCCTTGGTTGTATGCATATCTTTTGGCCGTATATCTTACGAAAATACATCTTACGAAGTTATTAGATGAATCGTTAAGAACCTCTTTTTTCCCTACCTAAGCTGTTGGTTTTGAGAGACCATATCAGCGTAGCCTTAACTACATAGAAGGTGAGCTCACAGGGCTCAAGCCTGATGTCGTTGCTAACACTAACGCTAGCAAGAGCAGTGCTTCGTAGAATCTACCACCGGATCAGAAACCCGACCCACTGAGAAAATACATTGAGAAACTCAGTGGGCTGTGTCTGTGGGTTAATTTACTCGTCGAGCCCTTCGTCGCAAGCGACGGGTTCGACGAGAACGATGACCGGTGTTTGGGGTACCTAAAAGCACCGTTAGTGGATAGGGAGGATCAGAAATGACCTGTTTTGGGCGACATCGACTGTTTACCATTCGGTCCACAGGATCGGGAATGTTAAGAAGTAATTCATAAACGTCTAATCACAGTAAATACTTAGCTTTAGTTTATCAACGCAATATTCCTTTTGAATAACTGGGATCTTTTGAATTTCAGGTGAAGTATCATACCGTATCGGAGAAAAGGGCGCTGTGAAGGTTTTGTTCAGCAGTGACGAGCGTGCTGCCGATGAAAGAACCGATCGGGAGGTAAGACCAACATCTACATTTTATTTTTGTGATTGAAAGATTACTGGTGGCCCGGAAGCAACATCTACGTGCAGACTAACCACCTTCAAATCAATTATAACAACCCGATTAAACATATCGTCAGTATCTGATTGATTAAATTGAAGACCATTGTAACACCTTATATGGCTATTATTAATCCATGAAATGTGTATGCTATGTAGTCTATACTAATATATAAATCTACAGTGGTTTTTACGGATGTTCCGTTATAACTACTGAACCATGGATCCGATTGACTTGAAACTTGGTATCCATGTAGAAAATACATGTACTTAATGGATAGACTTATATTTTTATGAGTGTTGGACTCCCTAATGACAACAAATATTAATGTCAATTTTAAATGTCCAGCAAAGCGGGCGAATACGGCCAGTATCTCATAAGATTAATGGAACGGTAGATAATAAATAGAAAAAGAAATATTTCTTAATTATAATTAAACTTAATAAAAAATAAAGTTAAGATAAGTATAATAAATAACTACAAATAGTTTCTAAAAATAATTAAAATAAAACATTAATTGTAATGTGCAGGTAACACGCGCGTTCAACCCTGAGGCCCAATGCTTCAGGCCAGTGGAGCCTGCTGCGGCGCCATCACCGCCAGCGCCCGCGGCCTTCTCTCCTGCGCCTCCATTCCGTGCACAGCCGCTCACCTTCACGACAGCTACATTTGCACAGACGAAGTTCGGCAGCACCAAGCTCAAAACGAGCAGCAAGCGCGCAAACCGCATGTCTCCCACCGAATTCAGCAATTACATCAAGCAGCGCGCGATGCAGCAACAGCTGGCGGCGCGGTCCATGTCGCCGGCCCCGGAAGCGGCGTACCTGTCCCGCCGCGAGCCGGCGCCGGGCAGCGCGCCGCCCTACCCTCCGGCGCCGTCGCACCTGCTGCTCGCCAACTGAGGCGCACACCGCGCGACCCGCTCATAGAGTCTTTACTTTTTTACGAGAGAGACGCGCGCCGCGATTTATTTTTTTATTTTCCGCGGGGGCGTCCCGCGCCGCCCGCCGCTTGTGATATCCGTACGATTTTCCATAACTTTTTGTATTCTCGTTCGTTACGTCGATGTGTAAATTTAATCGATAGGAGCAATAATAATTAGCCGCGCGACTCGCCGGCGATTTATTTTCGTAATATTTAAAAGCCGAGTCGTTTTTGATGTCTTCGTTCGATATCGATATATTAGTAGTTTAAGAGAGCCAACAGCCGCACGGCCGAGTGCGTTGACGACGTACCTTCTAGAGCGAGCCTGTATACATACGTCCTCCGATCTAAGAAGTATTAATATTTAATTATGTATACAATATATATTCGTACGAGATAAATATATAATTTTTCACGTGAAAACGAAAAGCCAATAGAGAAATTGTGTATTTTAATAAAAAAAATAAAAAAAATCATACTATTTTAGCGTATCGGTATGGTATACCTGTGTATTGTATTCGTATGTTGTAATATTTGCATATCCGGTCGGACGCGGTCGGACGGCGCGGCGGGCCGCCCGAGGGCGTCGGAGATCTCACATAGTGTTATCATCACTCGTACGATTGTACCCTTTTTATAATAATTAACATACATAACATAATAATATAGGATTAGCTACGTTTCAATCTAACAGTATTTTTTTAAGAAGATATTAGTCCTTGTGTAAATTTATTGGTCGACCGCACCGCGGTGGCTGGTCTNGCGGTCGGACGGCGCGGCGGGCCGCCCGAGGGCGTCGGAGATCTCACATAGTGTTATCATCACTCGTACGATTGTACCCTTTTTATAATAATTAACATACATAACATAATAATATAGGATTAGCTACGTTTCAATCTAACAGTATTTTTTTAAGAAGATATTAGTCCTTGTGTAAATTTATTGGTCGACCGCACCGCGGTGGCTGGTCTTAGCGTGTATCGTATACTTAATATTTAAATTGTTATTAAAAGACATGAATAAGAATAAATCATAGAAAAATATATCTCAATTCATTAAAATAACGGGTGCATGCGATTCATTGAAAATTGAATACTATGTGTTATTTATCTTTTTTATATTTCATTAGCGATCGGTACAGTTTTTTTAATGGAGGTCTGTAGTTTAAGCGCTGCTATAGCGCGGGAAACGGGTAGTCGGATCAGCTTGTCACTGTGTTGCGAATACAAAACAGAAATAATTGGCAACGGGAAATTGCTCTATACGTATCTCGCAATTTCACCAAATATGTATTGTAGATGAAACAATTCAATGCACAACATGGACAAGTTGTACCTAAACGGAAATGTACAACTATTTTTACTATTTTTATATTTTGATTTAGAGTTAAGTCTAGCTGTATGAGTTCTATACCTTTAAAGTGTACTTTATTAATATCTTATTATTAAATTACATGAAATGTATTTTCTATGACAATCCATTGAAAAACTGACCGAAATGCTACAGTATTTTGTAGATAAAATCTATAATGTAAGTTTAATATTAATACAATTTAGTGTAATGAAATTTTTTATTGTAAAAGATAATTTTTATTTTTCTTTCCTTTTGTAAGATATATTCGATGAAGTGTTAAAGATAATATAATATTTGCATAATATAGTAAAAAGCGGCACTCCATTGCCGGCTAATATAATTAGTCAATAATTTTTCAAATTGTTGTACGACTTTTTAAGTTTATATTAAAATGTTTTGTGCAATCTATTGTCTGTTTCATTGTTCAATCCTATTAAAAAGACATGCCTACGTAGATAATCATAGTAATTTCATTAAATAATACTTTTAATTCAATAGCTGGGAAGACGAACTCACAGCACACCTAGTTCTCAATTAGTACCGGGGTCCATAAACATCACAAGTATCTCCTAAGCCGATGACCTTGAGCAAATCTAAACGTGTCTAATTTTTTTTTCTTATTTAACTACCTAAGCCTACCTAAGTTGATAGCCTTGAGAAGCTATATCAGCGTAACCTAACAAGTAGGTGAGAGCTCACGGGGCTCAAACCTGACGACGTTGCTAACACTAACCCTAGCAAGAGCAATACTTCACAGAATCTACCATCCTATCGGAAAGGCGACCCACTAATGAGCCGTCACGGCAAAAATATAATTTAATTCATCAATATCTTTTGTTTCGGCATTCATTATCTTTTTTAAATAATAGAATTGATGAAAATATTTAGCTGAAACATATATTTTTAAAACTATTTATTAATAGGATCCACCGCCGTCGCAGATAAGTGGAGCCGCCCACCTTGTAACATAAAAGTTGTTTGTAGGGCTGAGCTTATTTTCGCAGAAATTGCAAAAGGTATTTGAAAAAGTACCCTATAAAATTTTTTTATTGGTCTTACCACCAATGAGAAAAAGGTGCGCCACAGTCGCAATATTCAAAAATGAGGTTGCTCACGCAAACGTGCTAAATTGACAGCAAAATAATTTTTAATCATTATTTATACATCGATTAAAGAAGTCATAGATGCGCGCACTAAAACACGTCCGTATAGGTCGATACCTAATTAATACCTTTAATCAAACTGCGCAGTAGTCGGTATTTTGACGCTCTGCACTTTATACGCATCAATAGTCGATATATAGACGGTTCGCGCTTTAAAAACCAAGGACCTTTACCTCAATTTTACTACACCAGATTCGTTTCGATCTATATAAACCGTGGGAGTCTTCTATTAGAAAATGAAAATCTAATACGGAAAATGTAAATGGCCACTAGATGAATGGTAGATGCAAATAAAACAAAACGATTATTATAATAATTAAGTCACTTTATTATCATACCACAATGACAAAAATGAACCCCCATCTATGGACATGTTTATGCCTGTAAACATTAAATTAAATATTCGATAGTAACCAAATCATAACCTAACATCATTATAAAAATACAAAATTTTCATCAAAGTCGATAAACCGATACACGCTATAAAGCCTCGAAAAAGATCGAAAATAAACTTGTGAAATACAATTTTTTCACAAAGACTGGCTTGTATCTAGTCATCTAGTTTGTAACACATATCGCTTTGATACGACGTGCAGTTTTTTAATACGCTTTTATTAGCTTCAGACGAATGTATGTTAGTATATAACGGAATCTTTGAACATGATTTTGACCACCTTCAAAACGTCGGATTAACTCGAAATTTGGTATACTTATGAAGGACCGATGACAATTCAACAAAAAAAAAATATAATGAAGATTGATGTTCAACTAAAAAATTAAAAATAAATAATAGTTTAAAAAAACTAACAAAATACGCTTTTATAAAAAATCCAAGAAAAGAATAGAAAATAAAATTTAATAAATGTCGAATTAAAAATAGTGTATGAAAATATGATTTTATTGTAAAAAAGCGTAGGGTGCATGGTCTCAGTAGTTATAAATATTTTATGAACAGATGAGTAGTAGGGTTATTTTGATAATATCCTGAAAACCACACCATGCTTTTTTTACAATAAACTTATTTTTTTACACTATTTTTAATTCAAATTTATTAAAATTCATGTCCTTTTTTTAGTTACATTTTCTATAAAAGGGTATTTTGTTTGTTTTTATAAACTATTATTTTTGTGTCTTATTTGGGATCCTGCCATCAAAACTTTACAATTTTTCATCGTCAACATGAATATTGAATCGGACACAGCTGGTACGATGACACCTACGCACCAGGTGATCCTAGTGTAAAAAGATACAAGCACAGATGTTAATGAATTAAAGGCGACCAATCGAAAGAAGCAATAATTTGTAAAACGATCAAACCTTTCAATTTAATTAAAAGACCCAACATGATCATAAACCAGCTACCGCTGCCCATCGTCAGATAATTCGTCTCCATTTAAGATAATATTCCATAATTTTTACAACTTAAATTAAATTTCCCACTGATTTCGATTTATAATTAGTTTGTATTGCTACTGAGTTGTGCTGCAACTGAGAATAAATCGTTAAATAATGCAAGAGAGCTTGAAGACTTAATCCTGGCACAATTAATAAAGATACCATCTTTTAATGAAACTAAAATATATTCACAAGAAAATAGTACAGACTCTGATATAACTTGACTTTTATATAATTTAAAGTATGCATTAAATGTCTTAAACATTAGATTGTGATGTTTTTAAACCAAAATAAAGGATCTGTGATGATGACGTCGAATTAAATTCATAATCTTATATTTTACATCAGAATATGAGTTATGGCACATTTTCGAGATAGTGTAATATAGCAATGCCACATGATTAATATAATGGTAATTACACTTTGTCAATTTAAAAATATTCGAATGTGCGAAATTAATTTTTGAAAATGATTATTCTTCATTATCATTTTGACAATAAAGGCTCCGAAATCTGGTCTCAGACAAAATATCATCTATAAATCATCCGAAAGACACTTTTAAGAACTTAGTCATTGCGAAAAAGTGACTCGCAGGTCTAAGGAAAAAATACAGCAATCCCCCCCTTATAACACGGCAACCTTATAACGCAGTTTTATATTACGCGATTTCAGTCCCTCGTATAACACGGGTATCCCCCATATAACGCGGGGTTTTCACACGTTATACTATTTCTGTACTGTGAAATTTATAATTATTTCTACAATTCATAATTAATTTTGCATATTGTACAGTAATTGTCATGTGAAATTAAAATAAATTAATTTATTACATTTGCGTTCCTAGTTTTGTAATAGGAAAAACATTGGTTATACTATATTATATTCGTATATCTATTTGTACATAACGCTTTATATGAAGTCATACAAGCGCGTTATGCGAGAATTCTGACAACACGTATCCTATAACGCGGAACCAATCTACCGTGTTATAGTGGGGATTACTTATATCGCACATGGCATAGACTTTCAGATCTTCCTTCATCAAACTACCTGACTTAGTCGACAACTGCTTGGCTTTGTCTCTGATATTAGTCCATGAGCTACGATGAGCATTCAATTATAGAAGGGCCGTATAATGCTCATATTCCTATATTGGCATTTAACTAAAACTTAAACTTCCGGCGTACACATTTTCTTTGGCATTCAGGCTTTTTCCATGAAAGCCGAACATGGAGGCGCCAAGTTTTAAGCTTACGCAAAAGTTGATATCATTTTAAAGAAATAAATAAAATTGTGGTTTGAATATCAAGCGAGGATAGCTTTGTTTTAAAATTTATCGACTTCGTTGAAAAGTCTTTATTATATTAATAAGAGTGTAGTCGTAAGTATGATAGTACATAATATATTTTACATTATATATTTCACAAGACCTTAATTATCTTAAAGATAAATAAATGCATATCTATAAAGCGTTCTTATAGAATAACTTTGTATTTTTACAGGAACATTTCTGATATTAATCACCTTATCAAGAAGCAAAACATAATTTTGGCACTGATTCGCAGACGATCAAGTAAACTCTGAATTATGTTATGTTTAATTTACTTCGTATTTTCAGCCATAGATGAGGAAATATGTCTTATGTGGTTTTCGTATAAAATATAATTATTATACTTGAAATCACTAAAATAATCAGTACATTTTAAACACAAACGGTCCTTCGATAAAAAACTCTTTTAGATCCCGAAATTACATTAATTATATTTACAAGATATATGTATCAATTCAAATATTTTAAACCTAGGTCATGCCGACCGAGAAAAAGATGAATATTTTTTTTAAAATTATAAAACGTAATGAGAAATTAATTTAAACACACTGGTTGCTTAAAATATGACTGATTTTGACTAATCTTTCAATTTTGGCCCATATATGTTATTAAACATTCAAAATTAAATTGATTATAATATCGAAGCAATCATAAGTAAGTACTTACAGACAAAATAAACATAAGTTTAGAATTGACCCCACTGTTCGCGGGAGCATTCATTATGAACGAAAAGTAAAATTAAATAACACACTATGTGAGCAAACGCTTAAAACGAAAAATAAAATCGAAATTACGAAAATAACTACATATTTCTTAATGCCAAAACAATAAGGTTAAGGAATGACATCATAAAGTCTTGGACTGAACATTACAATTGCTTTAGATAAAGACGAATAGCATGCGTATAAAATTGTACATAACTGAACACGGTCCCCCCAAACGGCGTTAGCAGGAAAGTACAAACATGAAAAGAGTGGTTCTGTTATCTCCCGTAGAAATAACCCATGTTATTTATAGCCTGTATACATCAGTGAGACATTTCTATGTGTCTCTGTAAACTCTTTTTGTTCATGTATGAACGGTCGCACATAGCACAGGGGAAGTAGACCTTTTCGTTGTCGGAGTGTCGCGCCCGCGTGTGTGTGGACAGGTCTAGGGCCCTCGCAAAATATACTTTGCAAATGTTGCAGAAAAATTTGGTGGGAGTCGCGTGCATTGTTCGGTGGGCGATGAGGTCCCGTGGGGTGGCCACCCCGTCCCCACACTGAGCGCATGTAAATTCCCCGGGAGGGTCCACCACGCCGTTACCGTCGTCTTCGGAATCTCCGGATTCCTCCTCGCCGTGATGTCTCATTTTGTGAGACCTCAGCGCATCAGCATTATCGTACTGCGCGCCGCAAAGATCGCAAGCGTGCACCTCTTCATCTCCTAAGCCAGTAGCAGAGGAACTTCCTTCGCCGCTTTCGTAATGCTTCTTCATATGTACGATCAAAGTAGACTTTCTCGTGAAGCTTTTATCGCAAACAGGACAAAAAACTGAATTCGGTTGATGGACCTCATCCATATGACGTTGGTAGGCTGCGCGTTTCGTGAACTCTTTGTCGCAAATGCCACAGTATCTGTCTTCAAGAGGTCCTGTACTCTGTTGGTCTGTCTCTATAGAGTCGTCAGATCGCAACTTCTTATTAGGGTTCACAACTGTGACTTCAACCTCTGGTGGCAATCTTCTTTTGGCAACGGATGCCGGAGTCGGCGTCGAATGTTGAACGCGAGCCAGTTGCGAGGCATCGACGATTTCATGTTTACTGACTTTGTGGGAAACTTTGTGCTGTGGCATCCACAGGCCTGAATTATTGGCAGCAGCTTTTCCGTCCGGCGAACGAAGGTGCCAACCGCGGTGGCTCTTCAGAGCTGATATCGAAGTGTAGCTCTTGTGACATATTTCGCATTCAAAAGTCTGCGGCTGCTGGGGGAGTTGATTAACGCACTGATGGTTCTGTAAAGCCAGCAGTCCTACGAACTGTTTGCCGCACGCTTCGCAGGGATACCTGGCTTGATAGTCGACGTTCGCGTCGCCGGTGTCTTGATCGTTATCGTAGTCTCCGTCCACATCTTGTGAGGTGTCTTGAGATTTACTACTCGTGACCTGATTGGCGTTATAACCGAGCAATTCACGGGCGTGTGCAGCCTTCAGATGTTCGTAAAGCTCCAACGTAGAACTCAACGGTTTGCCACATATTTTGCACATTTGCACAGAAGTCTTGTGAAAGTTCTTCCTGTGACGATAATACGACTTTTTATCGGCGAAATTGATTTTGCATATCGTGCAACTTGACCTGCTACTGGTGTCGCCCCTCTCGCTTGTGGACTGCGTGTGATTATCAGAACCGGAGCCCATATTCGGATTAATAATTCCGTGTTTATTACGCTTATGTTTCCACAAAGCATTCCTGACCGGAAATCGTTGATAGCACAATTCACATGAATAAGGTAATTCGGGTTGTGGTTGAGTCGGCTGCGTATTATTGAAATTAGCAAAGTTAAAACTATTAAACTGCGGTGTCGACAAAATCGTACCATTTTCATCTGGATTATATTCATCCTCTTCGGTGGAGGCATGCATAGTATTCTCTTCACTGTCATTTCTGTCGTTCAAGAGATCAGCGTGTAATACCTTTTTATGCTTCCAAATATTTTTCTTGTGCATAAAACCTTTACCACAAATATCGCAACAATACGGAGCATTAGGGATATTACTATAATTCGGTTTAAACGATACAAAGCCTGGTTGAACACCAGGATAAGACTTAATTGGCTTCCCGATGATTTGTGGAGCAAAACTCTTAGGATCTCCCGGTTTCCTATTAGTCGTCGGCACTTTAGCATGAATGCGCATGTGATTAGAATACGCCTGGCGACTTTTGAAAGACCTGATGCATATGTCGCAGTAAAATTCTGCATCGGTGGGGGTATTCCCGGCTCCAGGATGGATTTGCTGAACGTGGTCGGCAAGTTTCTGCGGAGTACTGTAGGAATTAGAGCACAGACTGCAAGGGTAAAATTTCACTCGCAAGTGGGTGTTCTTGTGTTCCGCGAGTTCTGAAGGTCGTAAAAATTTCTTTTCGCATTGATCGCAATGATGTGCCACCTGATTGTGTTCGGCAACTTGGTGGTCAGTCCATGCGTCAACTGTTTCAAAAATCGCATTGCATTCAGTACATGAATAATGATACTCTTCGGCCTCTTCTTTAACGAGAGTCATGTCAGGTTCATGGCTTTGAACGCCTAAGGTCCTATCCGAATGCTCCGTGTATATGTGCTTGTTTAGATCAGCGGCTTGTTCAAATTTGGAATCGCAATGCTGACAGAAATGAGGTTTATCTTCGCCGTGTATGATTTTCAAATGTTTCACCAAACTAGGATAGTTTGTGTTCTTCTTTCCACAGACGGGACAGTCGGTTGGCCTACCGTCCACACACTTGGTCAAGGTTTCAGACTGATCAAGGTTACCGGCATGTACAGCAACGGCATGATCATTAAAATATTGGATGTTTCTGAATTTCTCTTCACACAAATCGCAAGAAATATTAACGGTGCATTCGCCGACGCGTATGTGTTTCTTTAACAAATTTTTGTCTTTAAACCTTACCCTGCAATGTACGCAGTGGAGTGGCATCATAGACTGTCCATCTTCGTGAACGTCTAATACGTGTTTCATAATAAACTGTTTCAATTGGAATTTCGCAGGGCAAAGTCTGCAAGCGTATGACCTAGCATTGAAGATATCTTTATACTGAACTTTGACGTCCACAGGCACAGGTTCATCCTCTATCACGATATCGTCGGTGATGCCGTTTTCGTCGTAAATTATTTTCCACAGATCCGTACACGAATTCGATCGCATATGACTGAGCAGCGCGCCGATGTGGCCGAAAGTTACAACACAATTGTAGCAGGTGTGTTTAGGAACCTTGTGCCCGTTTTTCTGTAGATGTTGTATAACCGCTTTCCTGCGCGGATGTTCTCTGTCACAGCACAGACATCGCTTAGTGTTAATTTGCTCAATTATATCGCGATGTTTATTTATAAAATCTCTTTGAGATTTAGTCACGTAAACTTTATCAGGGTCTAAAACCTTAGCAGGTTTCTCTTCTTCTTCAACCGTAGCGTCGTTGGGATCAATCGCTTCACCTGACTGGGCTGTTTCATCGAGTTCCTCCTCCTCTTCGTTCATTTCGCTAAGATATGAATTTGTTTGCATGTCCTCGTTTATCTCGACAACGGGAGCGAGACCTTCGGGAGGGACATAGTCTTCATCGTAATCATCATTTTCATCTTGATTATCTTCATTATCTTTATCTTCATGATCTTCATACTTTATATGAATATTTTCGTCAACCATCGGATTCTCTTGACTGTCCGCTGTGTCTTCATTATGATCCTTTTCGGTATCACTCTGCATATTCTCATCATGATTTTCATTATAATCTGCATTATCTTGCTCGTCATGTTTCTTATCGTCATCCACTTCTTCGCGCTGACGTGCAATTTCGATCTCGTTTTCAGAATCCATATCTACTGTGTCATAGTTCTGATTTTGACTGTCATTTACTTCACCTTCCGCTTCGTCGTCACCTTGCTGATCATAAGCATCAGGGTCGGCCTCAGATAAAATAGTTTCTACCTGAAACGATGCTATTTCTGGTTCCGATATCAAAGTTTCGGGACTTTCAGGACCCGAATTCATAATTTCTGGTTCAGAAACTAAAACTTCCGGTTTTGTTGTTAGGAGTGTTTTCAAAATTTGCGGTTCTTTTTTCTTGATTTGCAAGTCTTTTAGTGCTTTAATACGAAGGGGATATGGTAAATTATTTTGTGTAACTTTAGAATTTACAGTTTTAATAGGAATTGGTTTCGGTGGACCCGCTTTCGACGCATTGACGATCGGGATGTTTTTGAACTGGATTTTGTGACTGATAGGATTAGGCATAAGTCGCGCCTTGGGATTAAATGGATTAGGCCTCAATTTCGGCTGTAGATGTGTACGAGACTTTTTCGTCGTGGTTTTGTTAGTGTACCTATCAAAACTATGCGCGGTCAACTCATGTCGCCTGGCGTTGTGTGAGTATCTGTAGCTGCGTCCACAAACAAGACAATCTTTTGACGCTATTTGTTGAATGCCTTGGCGGGCGTGTAGGGTCTCACCAGTGGGACGCATAACCGTAATAGAAACTTCAGGCATGTTTGATACTTTCGCAAGAGGCGCGGCTACATTATTCACGTCTTCATCTTCATCATCTTCTTCATCTTTTTCGCTTTCTACTCCCTAAAACAGTTTTGGATTTAAGTAAAAATATCACGTATTAACAACCAAGTAGCCAATGTGACATTTCGTCTGAAACTATAAAATTATTGTAATCGTACACAAACCAACCAGGTGATTTATTTGAGTATTTTTACATTTCAGTAACTTTCGAATGTGAAAGCAGTAATCCAATTTTAAACACATTCAGCCAAATTAACCTAAGCACTGAACACAAACATTAACACAGTGCTCCTTACATGTACTTTGTCCGCATTTTACACAACATTGTTTAGTTTTTCTGTCTCGTTTCATTGTTTTTATACATATTCGGCATCTTCTTCTGTTCATAAAATAAGATGAGTTTTGCACAAGACTGTTTATCGGAATATCATCTATTTCAACCAACAATTTATCTGTTCTTAAAAGACTAAGAGCTAAATCTTTAATGAAATTACGACGATGAGTTATCTTGTTGATATTTTCTGAACTCCATAGGACTTGAGTATTTATTGTAGCGATGTTTAGCATAGTAAAAAAAAGGGAAAGAGTCCAATCATTAGTCATTTGCATGGTCGTGTAATAATGCATCAAAACATCAAGCACTTCAACAGCAGACTGATTCTTCTTATAAAAGGATACAACTGTCGAATTGCCGATGTGTCTACCTTTGTGATAATATCTTGGATCATTTGATATAACGTTAACACATTTAGATTCAGAAGTAACGTAAGATGTAATACAAGTGCTATCCTGGAGAAAACCGGTCATGACAGATTTACATTTTCTGTAGTGTGATAAAAATGCAGGTGGTATATGATGATGGCTTGTTTTCAATGCTGCAACAGTAAAAAGTTGATATTCATTCTTCAAAATTTCCATCAAATTAAACGATGTGAACCAGCTGTCCATGACAATTGTTCTCTCAGTGTTGACTAAATGCTGAACCATTTTTTTTACAACTTCTTCCGCACCAAAATAAGGATCACTAATAACATCCAAATTTGTTACATAAAAGTTGTTTGGGTCAACAAGAAGTACCATTTTGATGCCACGTTTCAATGATTTCTTATCAATCTCGTAACGAAATGGACATGGTCCATAAACGGGTACAATGATCTCATCAATAACTGCAGTGTTCTTTACATCAAAAGAGGTTCTACAATTCAGAGCGAAGATTTCAAACACTTTACGAATACGACGCATAGGATCAAGTGGAACGTTACTCTTAGCACAGTTTTTTTCAAAACGCATATTCTCAAGGAGGAACTTAAATCGATCATATGTAATAGCACTTCTAATGCATGGTACTCCACATACGTCATCCCAAAGATCACTACATTTTTGATGAGTGGGTCTATATATGCCATGTAGATAAAGGACCCCTATTAATGTTTTTATTTCCCGAATGTCTGTGAAACTTATTTCGTTTTGACCCAGATGATCATTTGTAGAAGTGACAATCTGTTCGAGCAAATCATCCGAGAAGTATTGTTGCCAAGCAGTTTCAATATTTTGTATGTATTTTGGCTCAAATGCTTTCAGTTTCCTAGACTTCAAATGTTCTTTTGGGTTCACAGACGGCGATGTTACTTGTGGTGTTTTAGAAATGATTTCGAGATTTTTACAGACATAACCCATTTTAGAGTCAAGGAAGGAGTCATCGAGATGGTCCTGTAGTTCAGATTCTGATGAAGAATCATGGTCAGAGCAGTGGAGTACATCACGTTCTTCTGTTGTTTGTAGGGAATCAATAACTTCACTGTCTTGTACCATGTTCAATATTGCATGCACCCGATGCCAATCCATACGGGGGTCTATGCATGTCTGTGGATGAAATTAATTCAATTGAACCATTCCAAAACAATATCTAACAAGTCAGAAGACACAACACTATGTTTACATTTCTTGGTATTAATAATTGTAAATGATAGTTATTTAAAAAATTACAATTATTGTTGAAATGTCATATTGGCTATACATTAGTGGACAAAGTAGTCTAGATAAAAATACAACAGATTCATTACCTTATCACTCCTTGGTGTGAGCCCAAGCGATGTCAAGATGGGTGGGCCTTCCGGTTGTAATTTATGGGAGCTTTGGGTCTGAAATTTAACATTAAGGACTTTTGTTTTTAAAAGATTTACTAAAGTGTTATTAATAACTAACATTTTTATCTAATGCAATTAAATTTAGAAAAAATAATATCAAATGTGCATGACCACAAGTATTATGTGGTACCACATGTTTATGTAGTAAAAGCTCAATTGTAGAATTAATATGAAATTTTTATATTTTTTACCATAACATTTTTTAACAAAAATATTATCTCTATATAACCATAATATGATTAAATTTATGAATGATTTATAAGTATTTTTTATGAAATTAATGAATACTACCAAATTTGTATAAAATGTACACAAACAAAATACCTTTGATAGTTGTATTCTAAAATTGAAAAACTATATTATTATAAAAAATAGAAATTTAATGGGGTAGTAACTATGTTTCCGAACTAATAAGTACCTTAACATATACCAACGAGTCATCATCATAGTCTTAAATTTTTTATCAACCCTTCATTTAAATAGAACTAGTTCCACAAAATATTTCAGCATATTGTATCCAACAACACAATCATTTCATAATTTATAGAATGAAAATACTTCATCAAGTTTAAGATACCTTCTTAATATAAAACAGAACTGTCAACAGTCATGACCTTGACACTAAAATGCAACATTAAACAGCAATACTTGCATATCATTGGCTTATGAAATAATATAGAATTTTCAATATGATCAGTATTGGTCATCAATTGAAAGAAATACAAAATAAATCATTTGGATGTATCTCATACAAACCTCATTATCGGGGTAAGAGCCATCAATAACCACTCCTTCATCATATGCTTCATCTGACAGAGGTTCATTTTTTACTTTCACCTGAAATTGTAATTTTCGACATGTAAACAAATGAACTAAAAACAATTTAATTTTTAACATTCCATGTTCAAATATGTAGAGAGCAAACCCACCTCTTCTAGTTGGTTGCCATCTTTATTAATCAACTGTATCAGTTTGGTTTGTGTTCTTTCACATACATCCTTGAAAATATGCCAATTGTTGACATTATCCATGCACTTCTTACAGACATTTGTCGGCAAGTCGTCATTTTCGGTTATCTGAAAAATAAATCATACGTAATCATGGTATAGATGGCGAATGGGCGCGCACCACGCCGCATTTCATCAGAACGAGCAAGGCGAAACCGCGCCTCACGTACAGTACATACAGACTACAGATACGCGAGGAGAAACTAAGTAGGTAGGCGTTGGTATAGACGCGCCGACAAGCGGCTGCTCCTCGACCGAATAAGTAGAAGCGAGTCGAGTGGCATCCAGTGAGCCCCTCGAGGGTTAGCGCTCGATATACCTACGCACACACATCTATATCGTACTCACGCCGACACTGACGCTCGACCCGTTCGAGGGACGAGCTGCAGGCTGGTCTCGACCGATAAATCAATACACCCAACGCCAAGCATACCTAGCGATACGCAGCCCCCTCCCGGCATGACCGCATGACCCCCGGGAATAATGCCAAACCCCGACCTCATGATAAACGCCGTTCCTAGCCGGCTGAACGGAATGCGGTGCGTCGCGGCCACGAGCCGACCGATAACCGTGGAACATTACAAAATGGTGGACGATCTTACGACATCTCCACCTAAACGCAGCTATGCTCGTTGAAAAAGGCGGATGACGAGTTCTCACGTTTTCCAAGAGTCTACTTTCACTGATATCTTATAACTATTGTTTATTTTACGTATTACTTACCTCAACCGATACGCAATCCTTAATTTTTGAAGCGAGGACGTGAGGTTCAGAGTCATCGGAACTGGTGGTAGGAAAAATGGGCAGTAATTCGCCACGAGCTGACAAGCACAGTCTACAAACACTATCATAGTTCACATTCATTGTAAATAAACAAAATTTAGAATGTTTCAGCACTAAAATCACACTTAGAAAAGGGACGCCATGTCACCACGAGCACTTCAACACAAAGCACTGCACATCGTTCTTGCTAGAGCACGAAAGCGGCTGATGATGAGGATGAGAAGTCGATAGGTTCAGTCGGGACGGCTGGGTCGAGTCGTCGACCACCTGTCGTTCTGCGCATGTGCGCGTAAAATAACGCCAGGGTGACCAACATCCCAGATACAAAACACGGTTCAGTCAGCTGCTACCAACAATTTAGAAAAACCATTATATTTTGAAAATGCATTTTTAATTTTTTAAAAGACTTACATTATTTGTATTTTAGGAAATGTCTTTTGCTAGTTAATTTTAATCATAATTTATAGGGAAAGTTAACTATAGTTGACTNCATGTGCGCGTAAAATAACGCCAGGGTGACCAACATCCCAGATACAAAACACGGTTCAGTCAGCTGCTACCAACAATTTAGAAAAACCATTATATTTTGAAAATGCATTTTTAATTTTTTAAAAGACTTACATTATTTGTATTTTAGGAAATGTCTTTTGCTAGTTAATTTTAATCATAATTTATAGGGAAAGTTAACTATAGTTGACTTTTAGAAAAAAAAGTAATTTTCATATTGTTACTTTTCTAATATATGGAACTGCTACATTAACTTACGGATTTTAACCTTACTGATTTTCTACAACATTTCTTTTGTGCTTTAAATTGAAAAGGCTTGAAAATAGTCTTTAGCGGTTTGCTTGGAAAAGCACCTAACATTGCTAATTAAAAAAAAAACGTTTGCCACTCACTACCTGACCATATTATTAACCATCGATGACAAAAAGTGATGAAAATAATTTGAAATTGTTTCTACCAATTTTTTTGATTTTCCTCAGTGATAGGCTCTCTGGAACTTTATTTCTTTATATATTTTGTAGATTCCATTAAAATCAGCAGTAATTTTGATGTTCAGGAATGATTGTTGAAGAGCAACAAACTAATACTAAGCCTAGTACTAAAAGATCACGATATTTAGTTAAACTATGACTCCAAACTCCTTGACACTTTATATAATTATATGTTGATTACATAAACTGCAGGATCAGTTTCAAAGTCTCGGTTCAATATAATATGTATGTATGTATATATATTATGCTTTCAAGGCGATGCGAGGCCACATCGAATCACGCTGTTGTGATTTTAGATATGGCCACACTGGACTCGTTATAGATTGGTATGTACTGATACAGATATAAGGAACTTTTTGGCGCCAACGCGAGGAGTAAAGTTGTGTGATTTGTTTTATTTTGTCTACTTAGTGTTTTTCAGGTTTAAATGTGTAATGACGGTGGTTTATTAACTGTTTTGTATCTGTGAAAGTGCACAAATGTGGCAAAATGAAACAAAGCCGCTGAACGTAATTTCTCGGGATCCCCCAAAAAGTCCACTGGTCTCAGTAAATGACCACCATTTTACTGAGATTATATTTCATCCCATATCATCTCATCACCTTTAATTTCATGCCATGTTGCATATTAATCAACTTCATTTCATTTCATAATATCATTATTCATATAAAAAAAGTTTTCATTAAAATTAAAATAAGACTTGACCTAACTGGTCCTAGTAACCAGGTCATAAAATCCCTTAAAAAAAAGAATGATACTCAATCAGGAAAACGATTAGTCATAACAAGTACATGTAGATTAAAAGTCCAACAATTCTTGCAAGGTAAATGATTCATATCGTAAAAGATAGAAGAGTTAACCAAAGGTTATAACAGTAATAATAATGCTCAGAAGAATAACCCTCAAAGACCTAAGTTCGCTCGAGTATCCTTTAACTAAGAAACTAAGTAATGGCTCCATCCTAATTACTCTGTTTTAATGATGTTATAAATTACATAGAAAAAAGTACATATAAGAATATCCTTTTTTATTGCTTTTAAGGGTGGATGAGCTTACAGCCCACCTGGTGTTAAGTGGTTACTGGAGCCCATAGACATCTATGAAGTAATTTTTTTTTTCCTACCTAAGCTGGTAGCCTTGAGAAGCTATTCCAGCGTAACCTTAGAGTAAATGTGCCACCGACCTTGAGATATCAGTTCCAAGCTCTCAGTATAGTTATACTCAGTATAGTATAATATCAATGTTAAAATTGAAATTTATTTGGATATTAAATTGTTCAAGATTGTGAATATATAATTAGCCGCTACACACGAGTTAACTTGCATTATTGTAGAAAGAAAGCAAACCCTTGGAAATAATATTTCTGGATGAAAGCTATTTCTTTTTCCGTATTTCATGATTACATATTAGCATTATTAGCATGAATATCATTTTAATAGTTATGACATAAAAATGCCACAAACCAACAAACTATGAGAATGCAAGAATAAAAAAGAATGAGGAAAAAACTGAACTCGGATATTTAACGAAACTAGGATTCTCATAGCAGAAGGAAGACTTTGAGAATCAGAGACTGTAGATATATTTAAATGTAACACAATACAAAAATACACTCATACAGTTTAGAAGAATTAAAATGTTTGCGTCCTCTGATTGAAGCAACCGAAAGCGTGCTATCTCTTTCTAGTGAACAATGAACACAGCGCCAGTTTTAAACTTCGGTTAACTTCGGTTTGTTCATTTACAAGCGGGAAGATTTAAAACTTTGACAGATGGATTCTGAACTAAAGATGGAATATTTCAATTCAAAGATAATGCTATCCTTTTAAATCCGATTTCGTTTTCAAATGATTAACTGAACAAATCTCATAAAATTTCCAATAGACACTTTTTAACAATACTTTTTTTTTATGTTATCTCAACCTATAATCCGGTTCCATAGAAACAACGAAAATATTTTTTTTATAAATCACTATAGTATTGCCACTATTGTTATCCGTTTGTGCTGATTACTTTGCCTATTAAGTTGTTTTTGTACCACAGTCTACCTATAGTCAGCGTTACGCATGAATATTTATATATAACCGCATTTAACAATGTGGATGTCGCCACCATTCTTGTGATATGAGGTCCAAGTCTCAACATTATGTAACTGTTTTCCCAACCTTGAAACCGAGTGCCGACCATCGTAAATAAATAATACTGTACTAAAAAATTGGCTTAAACGCGTATTTATCACCATCGTGCTTATTTGTGTTGCCAAGTTTTAGTTCGGGAGGGCTGTTTATAACTATAGTGACTTCGATCTTATATCTCAAAGTCAACCACGTAACACCAGGCGGACTGGTGGAAGCTCTTTTAAACATATATGCTAAAAAAGCATCTCGAGCTTTATCATGATAGAAAACTTTCATGCTGGCAACTATCTGTGTTAATTCGTTCGTGAACACATCTTAAGTAGGTAGGTAGAGGATGTAATGAAAAGTCATTGTTATAAAATGAACATAGGCCCAGTTCGTCGTGGCCTAAAGGATAAGATGTCTGTTGCATTCGTATCTAGCGATGCAACGGTGTTCGAATCCCGCAGGCGGGTACCAATTTTTCTAATATTATACTTACTCAACAAATGTTCACGATCGACTTTCACGGTGAAGGAATAACATCGTGTAATAAAAATCAAACTCACAAAATTATAATTTGCGTAATTACTGGTGGTAGGACCTCTTGTGAGTCCATACGGGTAGGTACCACCGCCCCGTCTATTTCTGCCGTGAAGCAGTAATGCATTTCGGCTTGAAGGGTGGGGCAGCCGTTGTAACTATACTTGAGGCCTTAGAACTTATATCTCAAGGTGGGTGGCACATTTACGCTGTAGATGTCTATGGGCTCCAGTAACCACTTAACACTAGGTGAGGATGTGAGCTCGTCCAACCATCTAAGCAATAAAATAAATAAATAAATAGTTAATAATAAATCAAAGACAAATAATCACCTTTTTTATTTTGTTTTATCTGCTTTTCTTTATTGATATTATGTTTTATTTTTACACAAGCAACAATCAGCGTCATTATAAATACGTACAGTTTATTTTATGGTTTACTTATTAATACATTCTTACACCTTTTTTTTTATTTTTCGAGTAACATTAATATTTTATTTATTAACCGGATAACATAGTTTTATCTTACGGGATACGATTTTAAAAACATCAAGAATATTCTAGATTGTCGTTTTTTGAGCTCTTTATATTTTATATCAAGCAAATGCTTAAGTAGGATATTTGTTGTCTTTTGAGAATTTAAAACAGTTTCTAGTCGTTAATCGACTAAAATAAACCCTTTTATTTTATGATTATGGTTGGTCTGTTCCTTTTGTCTATCCAGACGAGGCAAAGGATAGCATGGAGCATAAAACTAATTGATAATCAATATACTTGGAATAGAAATATTTTGTTATCAAATAACTGTAGTATTATCATTAAGGTACTTTATATATGACGGCGACATTAATCGAAAAGGGATTCTCAAGTTTGGTATCACAAAGCTTAGATTACACATTTTAAAATTTATTTCACAATGATCCCACACACTATATACATAAAGTAGATGTATTTCAAATAGGTATGTATACATCATATTATTATAGATTAATCTGATACATTTTAACTCATTGAATTGTATTCATTGCGCCTAAAGTAGAATAATTACAAAGAAAACAAGTTTACAAATTATTAAGCGAATATACTCAATTATTACGTAAATTCCCAATAAATTTCTATTAAACTTATTAAACATTGATTTGTGCGTTAAAAAAGAGGCCGATTTTTACAGCGAATATTAATTTCGAAAATGAAATTAAAACTTGGAATGAATTAAAACGACTTTTTATTTTATTTAAAAGTAAATAAAAAATTCATAGTTCTATAGCCAAATAACGTGATATAAACAATTATTACGACATTTAAATAATACATACGCCATGCATTTACAATATGAGACGACGTTTACCGTCAACGGCATTGAAATACATTAAGTACATCGGTCCTTCCGACCTTAAGCTCGCAACTGGGTGTTAGAATACGGGCTATGCATATTTTGGAACGAAGTTCCTTATCGCGCGTTGCGAAAGGGGGCTAGACGGAAAAAATTAAGACCAAAAGTTGTAACGACACTTTTTGCTATAGTTGTAAGCCGTGTGGCGTGCACGTGTTTCTCTGTCTGTCTTTCTCTCTCTCTCTCTCTCTCATAGAAAGCAAGCCAGTTATTTTCGTTTCGTCTTTCTATTTCGCATTGAACAGTGTGGTGTCGCGACGATTATTTTTGTTGAGTGTATATAGGTTTTTTGTACATAATAAATAATAATAAAATAATAACAATAATGAATCCTATATATTATATTTAAAAATATATTATTATAACCTAAATAAAATTAAAATTTTATTACAATTCCTTCACTAATTAATCGAAAGGAACTTCGTTCCATCCGGGTGTCCCTTGACACCTCTCAAGTTTTTTCTAGAATAAACTTATGTACATGGCGGACACGATGACCGTTGTTCTTGTGATGGCTGCGCGCGCACCGCCAGCCTCGACGGATCGACGGGGTTCGCTTTGGCGACGAGCGATCGCGCCACGTGGGCGAAGGCAGCTTCGACATTCAGTCCGGTTTTGGCTGATGTCTCCATAAAGGCGACTTGGTACTCTCTCGCCAAGCGCTGCCCCTCCTCCCGCTTCACCGCCCTCTCTAGGCCGCTATCGGATTTGTTACCTGCAAGGCAAAACAGTTTCACAATGCTCAGCGTTTACCCGTGTGCTTAGTTCGAGTTTTATAACGTTCTCGATAGCGTAAAAGTTAACCCAATTTTGTATGCAGTTGGAACAGCGCCCCTAACAATAAACGTAGGCAAACAATCCCATTCCATACAAACATGAGCTAACTTTTACGCTATCTAGAATATTCTAAAACGTTAATAAACTCGCACTAAGCACACTGACCCTGAATGACTGACTTGACCGGCTGCCGTCTATTCGTTTCACTTCATAGGTACTCTGATGTCACGCGAAGTTGATTTAGATAATGGAATGTACCTAAGACACTCGGATTTCGTTTAGCAATCCAAGTTGCAGTAAATCAGGAAACATGGGCTTCTCCTTGTCCGCAAACAACAAACCGGGAATTCCGGTAAACGAAAAGAAGATGTTGATTTTTTTCCCTACCTATGCTAGCCTTGAGAGGCTATTTCAGCTTAACCCTAACGTGTTTAGGTGAGCTCACGGGGCTCTAATCGGAGTGTTGCTAACACCCTAGCAAAAGCAGTGCTTCTTAGAATCTACCACTGGATCGGAAACGCGACCCACTGAGAAGATCAATCAATGTGATGTCTAATACTTTAAGATGTCATTAAAAATTAAATTAATATCTTAATTAGTTAAATTAAATACATAAATGTTACTCAATTAAATGTAACGTCACTGAAACGATTACAATTTGTTTGTTTGAATGACCCAGTAAATTTACCTAATAGCATTATGACCACGTCGTCCTGTGCGTACTCCCGAATCTCTCCGAGCCACGCTCGGATGTTGTCGAAACTCGTCTTGTTCGTCACATCATAGAGCAGCAGCAACGCTATGAGAGAAAGAAAGCACGGTCTTAAAAAGTTATAGTGTTTTGTTGGATGCATGGCTTTTCTGATGAACTCAGCGTTAGCAATATAACGTAATAGAACAACTAAGAATTTAGTCTCTTGTCTCCAACTAGCCGATGTCGCAGGTACTATAAGAAAAATAGACACAATAAACCGCGCCCAACCCGAAAATGAAAAATAGTGTTGACTAAGGCCCCGAATAACACAGTTTAATAAAGAAATTAACTTTCCCCTAGTAATCAGGATTACTAACAACCAGAACTGAAGAGATCTTAAAACTTCACGATATACCTAATCATTAATTTATTTAAAAAATGAATTTTGAAGTTTTATTCTGAAGAAGTACTTTTTTCAAATGAAAAAAACTTGAAATTTGAATTTCCTGGAAATGGTGTGACCAGGTCATTTTTGAAATGCAGAAGTAGTAGGAAAGCTAAATATGAAAAAAAAAGGATAAACTTTATTCAGTGCCATAGCTAGCAAGGTCGATGTGTTGAACAATAGATTGCTTAGGCAACTGAATTAACAAGGCAGACACACGTGACCGGTTTAAATTGACCAAGCCGAGTTGACACCGCGCCGAGCTGACGCGCGTCCGTGCGTTATCATCCAGATCGAATTATAGACGTTCACTATCATCAATAGTCCGGTCAAATGCTTCGGTACTTTAAGGTACTTTCGGTAATTATATACATGATACAAATATACAGTTAATTCATTTTATTGCTATACGTAGTATATCCGGGGGGCTTTATCTCAGTCACAATTGGATTGTACAAAATTAATAACGGCTGTGCCACCCTTCAAACTAGAACACAATTTAATTAATTACACAACGTTGTTCGATCGTCTTGGAAGTCGTTCGTGAACACGTGTTAGGTGCGTATTTAGCTTCCGCAGCTGTAGACACTGAACACCAGACTACCGCGGGCGCTTCGTGTAACACAAAACTCAAAGTTAAATCATGCATTTTTTAATTATCTAGAAGTCAATACAATTATTTTAAACAATGAAAATAAAAGAATTCGAGCATAATGATTCAATTCTGCTATGTGATGTATCGTTTTCAATTTCTGTTAATTATTATTACTAAAATTAAAAGCGAAAAGCATTAGTTATAGCGCCATCTAGTAACATTTGATGTACTTTTTACAAAACGTTTGTTAGCTTCAGAGATTGCTGATAGGACACTAGCTTAAAAAAAAATTTGCATTTCCATTTTAAGTCACAAAACGTTATTTCAAAGATGCAATATAAATATTTATACACAAAAAGCTTCATCCTCAAAATAATTCCATTAATTACCGTGTGCGTCCCTGTAATAAGCATGCGTGACGCTACGAAAGCGCTCTTGGCCGGCGGTGTCCCAAATCTGCAACTTCACCTTGATTCCGTCAACTGTGACTACCTTGTTCTGCGGACAGATGGCGTTAGTTGGATTGACTTCAATGATTTAAGTGCTTAAATTTTATTTCAATTTTTAAAATATTTGTTCTTCTCAATATTGGAAGTACAAATTTTAATGAAATTTAATTGAGCGATAACGAAAAATTACACATTTTTTTTATAAATAATTCTTAAAATGTTCAGGTGGTTAAAAACTTTATCGACGCTTTGCATAATATGGATCACCGACTATTATATTGGTACATAAAAATAAAACATTCAATATAGATCACTAGGTACTTAATTTAATAACTACAACTAAGTAGAATGTCCATACATGTTTTTAAACTCAAGAAAAATTACACGCGTCGTTAAAAAGACTAAGAAAGTATTTTCGATGTTTATAGTTTGTGTTTTTGAATTATTAGTTCGCCGTTGTATCGTGGTTCGAAGCATCACTAGGCAAAAGGTTCCATGAGGTTTTAACAAATACTTCTTGAGTCATTGCTGATGTGCACGAGCGATGTTTATTGCTCGGATGGTTCGTAATCCTCTATATTGTCTTTGATAGCTGTTAAAACAATATCAGCTGTTTCAGGTATTCGGAGGAAATATAATTATGTGAAAATAAAAAGTCCCTGCCACTCTACAGGCATCGACAAATTACAAAGAAAAAAATATCCAAATTTCTATATGACTCAATAATACCTAATTCTAATTTATATTCGGCTATGGTAACAATAATCTAAAATTAATAGTATCGAATATTCTAATCTTTGACCGATAATAGTACCTACCACTAGGTTCTACTATTGTACTAGGCAGTACTATTGTTGATCGAAATTTCAAACTATAATAATATACCTAGCAGAGTAGGCACAAAAGTTATCCAATGAAACAAAACCAAATAAAATTATGATTTTCATAATATCGTTGTTGTTCCCACCGATGAAGGCAGATGCGATAAATCAAACGTCAAAAAAATGAGCTAACAAAAAAACGAGGACCTTTACAACAATAAATCATTCAACCGAAACGCCGATTCAATCACAGCTGTCACGGGCAAAGGGGCGGGCACGGAAAAAGCGCGCCAAACTTCGAACACCAATCGCGTTGAAGCGCAACGTTCGTTTGGAACTCGCGAGTGGCCCATTTGAATTCGGAACCCTTGAATGTAATTAATTACTTCTACGTCAGGAATGAGAATTTTAAATTTCGAACTATTTTTTTTTTAATCTTTATTAATTTTCAACATTCGAAAGATTTTTGTTGTTAAATACAATAATATTTTAGTTGGAAGTAGGTATGTGAGCTAAGCAAATATAATAATATAGTTTAAATAGTAAATAAGGTATCAGCCAACAAGAACTGTTTGAATAGCATTGAGTATAAGTCGTGGAGGAGGTCGCAGGAAATGCGATTTTGTACCCGGAAGTCGATGCCGACGGTCGATATGTAGTTTCCTGCGAGAAACGTGCCATCCCGGAAACGTACTAACATGCACGTCTTTCCAACTCCACTGTCACCGAGCAGCATAACCTGAAAATTGGGAAAATCATGTTTAACCACGAAATAGAGCACATACGATTGTCATAATTTTAGGAATACAATAAGAATTTCATTATCAAAAAAAAAATCAATGTACATTTGCGTGCTAATTAAGTAAAGTACCTACCCAAAGAGTATTTTTAATACATAGTTTAATTATGTATCTGTTACTTCAATAACACATTATAGAGCGCATTTGAAAGGGATATCTAAGCAGTTAGTAAGATATCTTTGATATACCTACGGATATAACTCATTACGGCCGTCCGTTTGGGGAAAACGGGAAACTTTATATAGCTTTTTTCCTATTTAATCGTCGGTAGTCTAAGAGGATTTTTCAACTACTCACGGACCGGTAGGTGAGCTCACGAGCTCAACCCGAGGTACCTATTCATGAAATTGTCTATATAGGTATTTAATTAATAAAAAATATATATTTATTTACACTTCGCTGTATGTATACTACCTATTTCATTTTTTTTTATCTATGCACGTTAGATATAATTTGGAATAATTGAGAGAGAACAGAAAGAAAAAAAAAAAACGATTTCACGGTGGCCTGTGAGCGATCATTTAAGAAAAAGAGAAAATGAAGATACCTACTATTAAAAACAAAAGGTTTGTTTAATACACTTACCTTCCCAAAAACATCATATTTATCTTCCTGCTTGGCTTGCTGCTCCCACTGTTCAGTAGGCGAGGGAGGTTCGCTGTGAGGCATCACGCCTTCCTGGTCGCTTTTCTCGTCCTCATCTCTAGCATCCGGAAGGTTCCTGGCCCAGGTCGGTCGGACTCTACCGACCACAACGCGCTTTTCCATTTGCCTGTTATCCATATTCGGATTCCACATGTTCGATATTCTATGTTCTCGATTTAAGAAGAATCGAACATTTCTTATCACTATAATACCGAATTTTGATTCACAGCACTTTTTATTGTTCAAATTCACTCGGTCTTTTAATTGTCTGAATTATTTTTTCAAAACATTTAAATATTCTTCGATTGTTTCTTTGAATTCAGAATCGAGTCGCGTTTGTTTATAATAAATTTAATTCGAAATTATTACGTGACCCAAGGATGCAGAGCGTATAGGTACGTGTTCTAAGATTATAAATGTATTTCGATGCATAGGAGGATTCCGCGTAGCAACCCTAATGTTTTTATTGAAATCAACGAGTAGAGGTCACGTTCTCCTATTAAGTAATAATCGAAGCCCATAGACATTACTATTCCGCTAGCAGCCTTGAAAGAAGAGAACATTTCAACTGTATTAATTGACGAGTGTTCGACTCTTCTAAGCTGCGGCAAAAAGTAGAAAGATTGTGGTACTTTTACACATGCCACTTAATACTAATATAATACATTACTATGCAGTCTCCAATGTCTTGTCTCTAAAGAAAATTATTATTTAAATACGTTTTTATAGAATTTGATCTTTGACGCGAAAAAACGTCACATTTTAAACTAGGTATCTAAATCTTTAGCATTATTTTATTTTTAAAAAGCGCTCTTGGCTTAAAATCTGACCCGCAATTTTATTTGTATTTGATTCTTATTAAACATTCTTTCTTCTTAATACGTTTTAAAAAAATATCTTATATAGACATGCCAAATACTATAAGAGAGGGTCTCTTAATTACCATACCTAGTGTTAGGTATGATAATTTTATAATGGTAAATAAAGATAATATACGATTATTTTTATATAGATAAGTTATGATACCGACTTAGATCAGATATTTGAGATAATTTGTCGATCTCCCCTCTAACAAAAACAGGTGATATGGGCGGTTTTATTGTTTTGCGTCCGCCGAGTAAAACACATTCGAATCGGAGACGCCGCAACGTGAAGAACAACTTTTGCTTACGTAGCTTTAATGACCAAATATTACGTACTAGTGATCCCGCAGTAGTCGAAATTCGACTATAATTAATTGAAATTATAAGTTTGAACGTTATTATGATTCTATTTTCAAATTATATAGTCACAGATTACGCCAAGACAACACTTTATGCAAATATTAATAAAGACAAACAATATTTATTCTATTCTCAATTTGACCTCAGACTATTTAATAAGCTATATGAAAAGTTTGACAATGAACAAATAGTGTGCATGCGTGTGTGTGTGTCAAGTGCATCGTAGTGTGTGTAATGTTTTTTATGGATTTGTTGTATTTTTTATGTATAATTTAAAAAAAATATGAGCATTCTGCACTTCTTCTCTATATTCTCTATAAGTGTCCGAAATTTCATACTCCTCCGTCCGCGCAATTTTCGTAAAAAGGGGTATAAAGTTTTTGCTTCACGTCTTAATATATAGATTAGTATTCAATAACAGAACACCTAGATACCTAATTTAAAATAAGAATCTGTATATTCGAGAAAAAAAAAGGTAAAGGTTATTATTTTGAGGAAGTAAGGCAGCAGCGGCGTTTAGATGCGCTGCTTAATGTTACTAGCCGCAATTTTGTTTGCAAGACCTAGAACTAATGATGTCATATTTTTTAAACTAAGCCGCCATCTTTTCAATAGGTGTCACCGAAGTTTATTCTCCGTGTGGGTGTTAAATAAATTTTAATATGTAAGTTACAGTCCCCTGTTTCTTAATAAAAATATAATATCAGTTACGTTATGTACCAACATATATTAGTTTCTTTTTTCCTAACTAAGCTGATGGTTTTGCGAGACCATACCAGCGTCACCGGGCAAGTAGGTGAATTCACGCGGCTCAAACCTGACGTTGTTGCTGACACGAACCCTAGCAAGAGCCGTGCAGCGCAGAATCTACCACCGGATCGGAAACGCGACCCGCTGAGAAGATCCGGCGAGAAAATCAGTGGGCTGTGTCTGTGGGTTTATTTACTCGCCGAGCCCTTCGTCGCAAGCGACGGGTTTGACGACAACGATTACCGGTGCTTGGGGTACCTAAAAGCACCGTTAGTGTATCGGAAGGATCCGTAATGACGTGTTTTGGGCGACGTCGACTGTTCGCACGATCGGGAATGATATTTGTTTATTAATTGCATAGTCGCGTCAACGAACATGAATGTTAATGGCGCCGTCCACCTCAAGCTGATGTCTACATCATGTCGTCTCATTTGCATATTACGTAAATAAAATCATTACGGGCTTATTTTTTTTGTACAATATTAATTCTTCATCGCGGAAGTCATTCGCGAACAAACGTTAAGTAGTTAAAGTTAATATTTAATTAGAAACATTAGAAAAATCGGCACAGTCGCATCACTGGATATTAGTATGTATTAGTATATTAGGATATTATTAGTAGACGTCTTATCCTTTAGACCACGACGACTATATTATGTAAAGTAATTAGATTAGATAAAGGCGAGCTCGGGATGACAACGTGATTGCGTGCGAAACTTAATTCGTGTCATGTGTGTCTTGAAGCAATAACTCGTATATGACAAGGATAATTGTGTTACGATAAACCGTGGTCACGGCGTCTGGTAGTTG